AGTAGAGCTGTCATTCTGATTTGTTTTCTGTTTGGTTTCCTTGCTAGCCATCAACACCTTATACCCTGAATTGACGGAGTAATTCCCATCCACACCATGTAACCAAAAATGAGAATCTTCCCTGCCAGCTAGACTGATTGGGATACTCAAAATTCTGTCCGCATCTTTGGTGTTAAAAGTTTGGAAAACCAAATTGCGGTTCCATCTTTTTTGGCAAATCAAATCTGCTACTTTCTGCAGTCCACCATCCGTAGCTCTGCAAGTAGTTACTCTCCCATTTGTTGTGTCCGGAAGCCAGCTATCTTCCCAGATATGTGTATTCTTTCCATTACCAGTCCGTCTTCTAGTGCCTTGTTCCACCACGTGTCTCGCGCTCATCAGACTTCTCCATAACCATGAGGCATTATTGGGGACTTTACACCTGAATATTGAAGTTCTGGAGTAGTACTTAGCCCGCATTACTTGGCTAACTAACAGGTTGGGTTGAGAAATCAAACGCCATACCTGTTTACCCAGTAGAGCAGTGTTAAAGGCCTCCAAATCCTTGAATCCTAAACCCCCCTTGTCCTTCTCCTGAGTGATCTTTCTCCAGGAACACCAATGAATTTTATTATTTCCATTGATGTCTCCCCACCAAAAGTTTGACATGAGTGAGCTGATTTCCTTGCACAATCTGGATGGCACCTTGAAGCATGACATAGTATAAGTAGGCATAGCTTGAGCCACTGATTTAAGTAATATTTCCTTGCCTGCCGTACTTAGAAACTTGTTCTTCCACTGGAGCACTCTCTGTTGAATGTTCGACTTAACAAAACCAAAAAGCTGTTGTTTTGTTCTCGAAACTACCATTGGTAATCCGAGATACTTGCCTTGACAGATACCAAATTAGGAGCAAAGGCGGGGCTGTTCTCCGGTTTGACTCCGATGCTTAAGTTAACAAGGGCTGGTAGTTTGCGAACGAATCACAGAGTAAGAACGTTCAGAAGTTGTTACCTCTGGGGTTCAAAAAGTGAAGTATTTTTAGTAGAACCTGGGAGGAGTTCTTGGGGTCCAAACTACATTGATAGGACAGGATGCGACGATAAGTTGGCTATAGGTCTATCGGTGCAGGAGCATAGGCTTGCAAAAGTCTGAAAGGTGTCGTGACAATCACTTCTTCTCATAAGTGCACTTGGTTCACAATATCTCTAAGTTACAAAGTAACTCCTCAACTCGGGTAGTGCCCGGGAAGGACGACCACATCGGGAAGATAATCCAGAGTAGGGGTGCAAACGAGCCGAGCTCGAGTCGAGCTTTGGCTAATCGAGCCGAGCTCGAGTTAATTTTGTGAAGCTCGAACTCGAGCTCGAGCTCGACGAGCTCAAAATATCAAGCTCGAGCTCGAGCTCGAGTCAAATTCGAGTCGAGCTCGAGCTCGAGCTCGAGCTTAAAAAATAAAAAAAAATAATTATTATTATTTTATTTTTAAAAAAAAATAATAATTTTTTTTAAAAAATGAATAAAACAATAATTTTTTTAACAAATAATAAAATATTAGGGATATATATGTAATTTTACAATTAAAATAAAAAAATAAAAAATAATATATAATATATAATTGAGCTCGCGAGCCGCTCGCGAGCCGCTCGCGAGCCAACGAGCTTAATGTTTTTGAGCTCGAGCTCGAGCTCGAGATCGACTTAATTAGCTCGAGCTCGACTCGAACTCGATATTGTCGAGCTCGTATTCGAGCCGCTCGCGATCGGCTCGCGAGCGGCTCGATTCGCGAAACACCCCTAATCCAGAGTACTACATAGGAGGTCCTAGTTTCAAAATTCCCTATTTACCAAAAAAAATATTAAAAAAAAAAAGCTTTTCCAGAGCGGGGATGTTATGCGCTTGGCTAGTGTTCCATTAGTTAATTGGATTTTGGGGACAATATTTAGAGACTCAAGAAGGAAAGCGGAATCAGTAAACTTGAAATTTAATTTTTGCAACATTTGTGTGGGAATGAACTCAAAGAAAAGCAAAAGTTTCAAGAAGGTGTCCCTAGCCATTGCACAGACAAAATGTACAAACAAATGATGATAATCCTTTAAACCTTTTTTAATTCTAGCATAGGAATTTGTGATTCCATGATGATGGAAGATGTATTAATTAAAAGGATAAAAGATCAAAGTACCTTTTAAGATTAAATAAAGCAACAACATATAGTTTAATGTTAAATTGAAAGGGTATGAAATATAACCCATGTCAGAGGATAACAATACATTATGGAAAAAAAAAGAAACTAGTATTAGATTACTAATTCAAATCTCCTTTTTTTTTTCTTTCGTAAGACTTGAAATCTTCTCTTGAGCCAAAAAAAAAAAAAAAACTACTAGTAGATTAATAGTAGATTGAAATCAAATTTAACTACAAAGATGGAACGTAATATTTTTGAATTCTAATGTTAAAAAGCCCTTGACAATGATCCCAGTTGGATTCTTTAAGATGCATCTAATCATAGATCATGGACACAATTTTAATTTTTATTCATTAATAGGATATTTTAGGAAGAAAACCAATCACAGATTATGACATTCTTTTCTCTTATTAGTTGAGAAAAGAAACAAGTTTATTTGTTTGCCTGGAGGTGGGACGAACATGTAAATATATCGTTGTTGATTTGCGTTCTCGTAATTATGTTTAAACCGTTTCTTTCATTATGTGTTTTAGTTACACCATCATGTTTAAATGATAAAATAGCAAAAAGAAATCGGTAGTAAGTGACAGTTTAGCAAAAGTATGTACATCCTAAGCAATCTTTCTGGGAAAAAAAAGATTTTTTAGTTTGTTTGGATTGAAATTATTTAAATTTTTTCCATTATTTATCATAAAACATATTTTAATGTGATATATGTAAGATAAAAAATAATTAGAAACCTTATTTTATGAATAATAAAAAAAGATTTATAAATAATCCAATCCGGGTGGTACGTCCTGAGAATGGTTTGCGAGCTCTCGCCAAACGTTTAATATAAAATTAGAATTTGATTTGTTAAAAGTCCTTGAGATGTCAAGTATGACAAGAACTGTGAATCATGAGCGTCCTAAAATAATCTTAAAGCAAATACGTTGGGAGTTTAGATCAAATTAATTGTAAGATTCTTTTCTTCCAAGCAAGTATAATATTTTATGATTATTAATATTCGCACTCCCATTTTAATCTATTACACTCCAATTTGCTTGCTAAATAATATGCCTTCAAGAAGTACAATAGGATAATTTGGGAGGACAAATATCACTTCCCTATTTTACCAAAACCACCATTCTAAGGCATATAGTGAAACAAATGACTAAAGGTGCATTTGATAAAATTGAAATTTGAAATATCAAATTTGAAGTTTGAATCCATTAAATTATTGAAGTGTTAAGTACTAAATCTAACACATTTAAGTGTATATCATATTAAGTGAAAATTGAATAACTATCACTTATTTTTGGGAGTAAATTTTGTCTGGAAAATTCAGTATCACTTAATTAATTCAGATATTTGAGTTTTGGTTATCGAACAAGTCTGAACATGTTAAAATCTAAATCCATTAAGTTTAAGTGTTGAATTGAATTATGAAATAGGGTCTAAAATGTGATAAAGTGGTTTGTTAGTAGAAGTAAATACCGGAAAGGCAAGATTGTTGGAGTCACACATACGATAGAAGATAATAATGCTTGAAATTGTTTTAAAATATAATTTTGAAATTGTTTCAGAGTATAATTTTTCAAAAAATTTTAGACGCATGATTATCATCTACTTTCTAGGTCAAAAAGCCCACTCTATCTAATAATCAATACGATATGCAAATTATTTTTTAAAATTAATTCTCTCAAAATTCGCACCTTTCTGAATAATAACCACCCCTTAGATGTGGGATCAGCCAATACGCATTAAAACCAGGTGCAGTTTAGTCATTATACCAGTATTTATTTCGTAATCAGATCATGACTAACTGTTCTGACGTTGTAGTAACTTGCATATCGTATTGAATATATATAATGATGTGCTATTTTAGAACTTTAATTTATCATTTAACAAAGAGCTATATCCTATATAATCAACTAATAAAAATGTCAAACTCTTTTCAAAAAAAAAAAAAAGATGAAGAAAACCTCCCGAAAAATAAAATGGGACATAATAACTTTCCAAAGCGATAAATACTTTCTAACATGTAACACTAATGACGATAATCCCTTTAAACTTTCTTATTCGACTCTAGGATTTTGTGATTCTATGATGATGATGCAAGAATTAGTAAATTGAAAGGCTACCTCGCTGTATATTCTTGAGATAAGTCTCTACACAGTTTTAAGAGATTAGTCTGTTTAAAAGGTTGGAGAATCCCTAAGTGACAAAAAAAAAAAGAGACGAAAGATCAAATTACCCGTTAAAATTAAAGCCCTCACACTCGGCCCATGACAAAAAAATAAGAATAATAAATAAAGTTGCAGAGCTCAAAAATGCCCACATTCAGACAGGGGCAGAGAGGGACTCGGGGCACGGACGGTTGCAGGTGCAACCGTCCCTGCCAATTTTGATCATTATCAACACCATGTAACTTTCTTTGTACATCGTATAACTTTTTTTTCACAGGATGTTTTTTCACAACAGATAGTGGTGGGTCCCATACTTGACACGAAAATCGAGTTACATGATGTAATCTCAGCCACACAAAATTTTGAGGGCCAATCTTGGCCCTCAACCGTGCAGGGACGGTCATACTGATGACCGTCCCTGCCCCAAATCCGAGAGTTAAGAGGGCGTACCCGGGAAGCCCTCTTTGCTCAGAGACTGACCCGCTTGGCTAGGAGCCCACGCGCAGCCGTCAAATGAGATCGCATATAAAGGCGCCGTTCTGGAACCACGCCTTGGAAATGGGACAAATGGCAGATACTACTTACTTCCTAGTTCCTACTCTCTCCAAACAACGTCGTTTCGTTGGGTAATTTACTAATTTTCAAATACTCCTAATTGAAAAGGCGCTTCATCAAGCTTCTGGCATTTGATTCGTCGATCGTCAGAAAAGTGGATTCCAATCTCAAGTCCTACAACCCCAACAAGCAGCTCAAAGAACAGTAGTAATTTTCTCCCTCCTTCCCTATTTTTTCTCTTTGAATTGGTTAAATTTGTAAATGACTGCTAAGTATTTGAGACCAATTGGAAAAAAAAATGTGGATAGATTTGTTAGCAATTTGACTGGCTCGCCTATGCTCGAGCTCTTCGTTGTTATTACAACATTCTTCGTAAGAGACCCTATTCTTTTCTTCATTTTCATTTTTTTAAAAACTTTTTCGAAGCTGTGAATTTCTGCTCTTTCCTCTTTTTTTTTTATTTTTTATTTTAAAAAATTTTTGTGTTTGTGATTTCAGAGTTTAATACTTCTTCTATGGCGAACCTTTGGCTGTAATGTCATATAGTTGGTAAGTATTATACGCATTGTTGAATTTGTAAAATCCGAACTTTGCAGGAGTTTATTCAGTTAGTTCCATTACCTTAATTTCATAAAGCGAAATTATTGCATCAATTGTCTGTATGTCTGAACAAAAAAGTATTTCGTGCTGGTGCGCGGAAATTATTTGTCTTTCTGCTTTAGATAATGTCTTAAGTGTAGTTGGAGAAGAAACTGAGGTTGGCAGGTTCCATTTGGTTGGGTATTTAAAATTAAAGTGGATTGCAGCTTCCAAATCCTTTGAGAAGTCTATCTGCATTGCATCTTATGATTTGGAGTGGTTTATAACATTTTTGCTTTGAATGATTATAAATTTGAAAAGAAGCAAGTTTAATGGGATTGGAATGCATTATGTCAAATAACAATGAACATATTGCATGTTTGTTTTGTGGCATATTTATTAATTTTATGTATATCGAATGGAATTTTTACTTGATGATCTCAGGGATGCGAAGCGCTATTATTTGTGTGCTATCTGTTTATTGATCAGGATCTCTTTTTTATTTTCGTCCTAATGCTGCAGAAGCCTCTATGAAGAAAAATGATGATGAAGTTGCTGGAAATAAGAGCCTGAGGGCTGTTGTTGCTGTGATGGTTGTAGATTTCCTCATCCTCCTTGTCCCATTTTCTTTATTTCTTACTGTAAGTGCTTTGTACTGGCTATATTGAAATTTGTTAACTCTAAGTGCTTTATTTCTCAGCTGTTTTGTTTGAATGTAATATATTTGCAAATAATGGTGGATGTGGAACCTGGGGATTCAGTGGGAACAACTAGCTGTATTGAAATCCTCACTTTCTTCTTCACATACACAAGAGGAATACATGTCCTTACGTGCTGCTCTTGCGGGGCAGCATTTCGGGTAGAGGCCTTAAATGTCAAACTATACATGTCAATCCTGTGGAAAGATGGGTTCATTCTTTGTTATTTTTTAGAGTTGCAAAAAGTTTGTCGTTCTCAGGTACTTAGGTGAAGGTTTTGTCTTGAGATACTTTTGAAAATGGTTTACTCGAAGAGGTTGTTGACTGATGGATGGTTGGTTGTCAACTAATCTTAAATAGGCAGCTTCATTGCCTGGACTTCAAATTTCTTTACCAGCATATGTAGATCCTTTATCTTTCTTGTCATAGTGTTTGCACACACAATCATTGTAATTGTTGCTGACATCAGTTTATTATAGGTTTTGTCTGAATGGATATGTGTGATTACAACTTTGCTGATCTTGTTGCTGCTTATCTCTTTTTCAGCTAGAAGGTGAATGCATATCCATAGAATTTTTTGTGCTTTATCTATGTTTTTGAATTTGGTTATGCATTATTTACCTGCAAAATACCAAAACATCTGGGTAGATACACTTTACAGTTCATTTGGAATAATTTAGTCTATGCAAATTATTACATTAGAAATGTACTAATCCTCCATACAGATTTAGATCTTCTTTTCAGGAAAGTGGTGTCTTTTCTTTTAGGACAAATATCTCATCTTACGTTGGTTGCTATGGTATGCAAATTGTCTTATGATTAAATACATTGTGGTTTTTCCCTTTTGTCTGTTAAGGCTGCATTTCTTTTCCTTGAAATTTCCAATTTTGGCTACAGGTGTAATCGCTGCAGATGCTTGCCACGTGCTTGTGTATTTTGGCTGTTGACTACAAACTACCTCCCAGAAAATATGCTAAAACAGAGACCTACGGCACTGGTTCGGTAAGATTCTTGAGCTGCCTACACTTTTCTCTTTGATAGATATCTTTAAAGATAAGTGCCTGACTAGCAATTCCTCTTTACTTTTCTTTTTCTTGTCTATTAGATAGATCTTGGGGTGGGCTCATCTGTTTTAGTCAATTCCCTGGTTTCACAACAGGCACGAGGCAATTCAATAGTGTAAGTGGTTGTTTGTGCTTTCATTCTCTAAATGCTTAATTTTCTTTTAGAGGAAGACTGGCCATTGTTTTTGGACTATCTAGTTACAGTGCAGTTGAAATGCTATATATGTTCTTTGCATATGCATGGCAAGGGTTTCAAAATTGACAGGTAATATTTGCTCACTTTAGCGACTTCTTTTGAATGGCTATATAATAGTGACATAGCGTTGCATGCTTAGGATGAAATAGAATTTAATCATGCATATGCATGAATTCTGCAAGCTTATGTGAGTCACTGGATAATTGTTTTTTCTATTTGCTATTGTTGTTCTGTCCTGCTTGTGCAACTTACAGCTTACAATCAAAATGTTTTTAATACTGTTTCAACACACTGAAAAATCATATGCTTCTTTCAGCTCAAATGTGGTTGAAATTTTCTTTTTTTGTGTCAGAGGAAAAAAATATCCATGTTTTCCCTTTCATTTTGTACTGTTAATCAGAGCTGATTTTTTATTTCAGGACACTCAGAAACAATCTTTCTCTCGGATGAAAAAGAACTAAGGAAGTAACTTAAATATTGAACTCAAAAAAAAAAGCTAAGAGGTTGTGTTAAAGCCCACTTGCTTAGTCCATGATTAGAAACATTGAAGTGTCAAGGACAAAAAGCCCACATCCGGGCAGGGGTAGGGGAGTTAAGAGGCCCATCCTGGGAAATCCACTGTGCACCCCGTTCAGAGAGTGCCCTTGCTGGGCTAGTGTGAACAACAATATAAGGGGCTATTCCGCAACCTCGATGTGGGCAGTTAATAGTAGTAACAGACAAGTAATAATAAAGTATTGGCAAATGGCAAGACAAGCCCTGCGCTCGTCCCCGTTCCCTTTCTGCTTTAGTGACGCACCCGTTTGCTGAGATTCCATTTCACCCGTCTTTAAGGACAAAAAATCTCATGGTGTCGATTTTTTATCATTAAATAATTTTTTGTCACAAATTAGTTTCTAAACTAACTTGCCTGCACATTCGTGATCATTTCATTGATTACTATTCTTAATTTATAAAATAATCAGAGCACATGTCAAAACACAAAGGTGTATATGTTCACCATATGAATCTGATTATTTTGTAGATTAAGAGCAATAATAGATGAAATGGTTTGGGGGTCTGTTGATTCATCAATTTAGTGGCTAATTTATAATAAAAAATTATTTGATAATCAAAAGTTGTTGCGGACAATAGTTTAATAATCATCGAGATTTTTTGCCCTCTTATAAATAGTGGGTGTGTTTGGATTAGGAAGATTTGAAATAAAAAAAAATTACTTCACAAATTTCAATCATCCTTTTATCTCACATACATCATGACACAAAAAGTGTTATAGTAATTATCTCAAATGCATCATCCAAATTTGCAAAAAGTGTTTGCAAATTTTTTTTTTTTTTTTTTTGTCAACACAGGGGTGTCCGGGTCAATCCTTACGGGGCCCGACTAATCCCCTGCAGCCCGGGAGAGGAGGCACCACTCCACACCGAACACGTTAACAGCGGGGCTCGAACCCTGGACAAATCAGGAAGGTCGCCATACCCTAAGGAGGGGGAGTGGACCGCTCGAGCTACCCCGCGGGGGCAAAGACCGGCCACGTAGAGTGGCAAGTTGTGGGAGGCAGGGGTTGAACCCCTGACCTCCAGCATCCCAAAGAAGGGGATGACCACTGGACCCTCAGTTGTTTTGCAAATGAAGCTCTGGTTTCTTATCTTAATTTATATGTTACTATTCTCGTTTTTTCAACAGTGTTATGGTGCATAGAGCTTTGGGGCGAAGCTCTGCCCAGTCTGGGGGATTAGCTTCCAGACCAAAAAAAAAAAACAGTCGTGTGGTGCATAGAGCTTCGATGTTTTCTTTTCAAATTGGTAGACAAAAATTCTAAGTGAAATATATCATGAAACCGACAAATTCAGATCTCTATCGTGACACAAACTGGCCGAAATGGCGACTGGTTGAGAAATTTGCATACGCAACGTATAGCAAGATTTTCAAGGCATGTTAGCTACAAAAAGCAAAAACAAATCTTTTCCAGCTTAAGCTATAGAACAAAATTCCTTGGCGTACGCAATTCAGCTGGTAATAACATTGGCCATGAGGTTGTTGGTTGTAATTTTGAATCCTTTTTTTATTTTTTAAAATTTTTTTTTAAAAAAAATTTCCTGATCTTTGCAAAGTTCAGAATAAGAGAAATATATCCTTGCCTTCATATTATTGAAAAGAACTAGCCAGTGGGTTACTAGTCATGTGTAGTGTGCATAAATAGCATCTGTTTCAATCGAGAATTATTGAAAAGAAGAAGTGACGAGTGGTATGTAGGAATAAACTTCTATTCTGATAGACGAGATATTTTTCTAAGGATGAATTATATTTGTCAATGTTATGTTTCAACGGGGTGTCTTTTTTATTTCCTATGCTTTTGACAGGGTAGGAAAATTGGAATCAATCAGTGCCTTTTTGACCATAACATAATGTATTCAGTCTGGTCTAAATTTTTTTCTGAACTTCTTCCCTGATGTATTTGCTCTCGTATGGATACTTATGTTTAGTTGAACCATACTTTAGTAGGTTTTCAACTTGCAATACTATTCATTCCTGATTTGAATAATCAAGTGAAGTAGTAAGTACATGTACTCAAGAACTCTCATAATCATGTTAAGGTTGTCACAGATTATAACAACAAAAATTCTGCTTGTAACTAAGAGAGAGAGAAAGGAGGAGGAGGAAGAGGAGGAGAGGAATGAAAGGAAATGCAGAGAATGCAAAATTTTGAAATCTACTATTCAAATTATGAAAAAGCGAATTTTACATATTGACATGTAATTTTTTATTACAAGAATACTGAGCTTTTGCAAGCCATGAATCAAATGTCCTCCCTTTTTTTTTTTTACTGTACTCATATTATAATATTGTTTTAATTATTTACAATGAAGTGCAACTTATTATGTAAAGTACACACGATTCAAAAGACGAAAAATAAGGATAGAAATGATTGCCAATAGAATTGTAACTGAATAGAATAACTCTTGAACATGTTATAATTCGTTATTAATTATTTGTATAATTTTCTAACAGAAGTACGATATTTAATTAGGATATTTTCTAATAGGTGCTCATAAGGCACGTATTAAAATATATTTTACGTGTTATATTTTTTAAAATGTAAGATTTATTAGAAAAAATAAATAAATACAAGGAAAGCTGGGTAAGATTAAATAGGGAAAATGTATAATAATTGTTAATATATGTATGTACATGATAGGTTAAGTAAATATTAACTATATCAATATGTGTACTGTGGGCATCCGTTAGAAAAACACATTTCATTATTGTTCAAAATGTGTTAGATCATTCACAAACAATCACCTAACACATTTAATTATTGTTCAAAATGTATTAGATCATTTACAAGCAATCATGGTGATATCAACGGATGGTGCCCTTTCCTGTTCAGAGATGGTGCTGACAGTTCCTGTCCCAAACTCGAAGGGACGGGGTCCTGAAGGCAAATGGATACAAAAGGGGAGCAGTAGGAAATAAGCTTTTTGGAGGTGCAGGAACTAGGAGACTAGAGTAGTAGTTACAAATTACATGCGAACAAATCAGAAGAAGACAGCTTCACGTGTAGGGTTGGGAAAAACCACACGCTTGCTTCCACATGACCTGTTTCTTCTCTCTTTTCCCCACCAGCCACCACCATGCACTCATTCCTGCGCCACCACAATCAACAAACTTAGGGATTGCTGCATTTTATGCCCCTCGTTTCTACCCCATGCACCCCAAAACCTGGATTGCTTGCTTATGTTTCTGTTGTTTTACTCTTTCTAGTTACTCACAAGAAGATGGTAATCTGAGAAACAATTGCACAGAATAAAACTTGGGATTTATTCAAACCCAAAAAAAAAAAAAGCACTTTGGGTGGTATATGAAAATTTTCTGTTATTTTGGGTTCTATACGATGGATTTGAAAGATTAGAAAAGAAAACGAGAATCCCATCCTTTTTCTTTCTTGTGTTTATTTGTCATGAGACACAAATTTGATGATCAGTCATTTGTCAAATGGCTCATTTCGAATTTAGTGGCTCTTGATTCACTGAGTTCCTTTGCCCTTTTCACTTTTTTGAGTTCATGATTTAGTGGCTGTTTTTTTCAATTTTCTTATTGCCCCTTTGAATTTCCCCACCACATCTTGTGGCACAGGATGTCTAATAATTGGTCCCAGACTGTTCCTACCGAGTAGTTCCTAACCAGCATCAAGAATTGAGAAGATGTGCATTCTTAGCCCATAAGTGATCTTAGTGGGCATACTTAAGATGTAAGAAAATTGATTTTTGTTGGACCCTTCTTACCAGCTAGTCATGCCCGGCTAGATTTAACAAAATATTGGGTTAAAAATGAACAAGTGAAAGAAGTAACTGGTATTCTTTTTATAAGATTACATATACAATAACAACACATGCTATAACTGCGCAATCAATTATAATTGATTTAAGGTACAATTAACACCCCTACTTAGTAAGATTGTATTGGATTCTGCCCAATGGCCAGGGGATGGATCTTGGGTTTTTTTCCCACTACCAAGTTCAGGATTCAAAGTTTGTGTCTGACGGTTGGAGGTAGAAAGGATCGGGAGGGTAAAAAATAAAAAGGTGAAAAAAAAGAATAAAGTCAAAATAAATTCACAACTTGGTGAAGTTTGAACATGGGGGCTTTATACCTCAATCATAAGATCAAAATCTCATCGCCAAAAGCATTGTTGCATACTTATGGAAGAACGTAGGAGCTTTGGTTTCTTGGAACATTATTATCATCTACATTTTGGTGAGTGGACTGCAGAATGACTCGTAATCCTGTCTTTGCTTTGTTGGCTGTTTCCCATAATTAAAGCCACAACAATACAAGGGCATGCATATATGCTGTGCAATTTCTGGATCAAGCTTCAACTTACAACACCAATCTAAATTAAAACCAAAGTGCAATTG